ATGAGTCTCTTTTTTTTTCGTGAACGTATTTAAACCGGTTTATATGCGTGATTCGTTGTTATCACCAATTGATAAGAGAGTAGTATTTATGTTTTCCATTTTCAAGGTCACGCTTTGTAAAAAAAAATTTTCCGAAACGAACGTTTGATTTTGGAGAGGAAGAAAATAAAAAAATAAATAATAAATAATTTTCCCTAAAATTTTTTATCCATAGGTATCCCTTTCCACCTCCCTCCTCTACCGTTCCAGTCGTTCTTCTTCTGCTTTTTCTTCTTATCAGTTCTTACACCTGATTGATAACGATAAATTATTATTATCACGCTAAAGTTTTTCCCTGCCGAAAATAAAAGAAAAAAAAGAAAATTTTTTTTGTACGCGAACCGACTGGAAGTTCCAACATTACTCAAAAACCCTTCCCCCTTTCCTCCCCTACCCTATCCCTTCCCATTTCTCTATCACACGTGTGTGTGTGCGTGTGTTATCAATTTTCCTTATGTAAAAAATTCCTTTTTTTAAACGATTCCTTCAGGAAAATGGCAAACGAGCCACCACCACCATCACCATCACGTTAAGTAAAATAATAATAATAAAACGACGGTGGCGGTATCGGTGGTGGGTAAAAGAAACACAACACGTGCATTTATTAAATAATTTATTTGCGTAAATAAAGCAAATGGGAGGAGCGGGGAGGGGGAGAGTATAAAATTAAAGTGGAACAACTCTCACGAAAAAGTAGAAGAAGAAGAAGAAGAAGAAAATATTAATAATAATAATAATAGAGATGTTGGTATTGTATATGGTTTTACTTACAGGAAAGAGTAGGAAAAAAAAGTTATTATTATTATTATTATATATTCCGGTTACCAATAATATCTCAATTATACCGGTCGATATCGGTTTGGTTATAAATCTCGATGAAGACGTCACAATTTATATTAAATACTCATAATTCATATTTTTTTAAAAATCCGATCGAAGGATCGTCAATAATTTCCGATGAAATTTTTTTGTATAATAATAATAATAATAATAATAATAATAATAATAATAATAATAATTGAAATAGACGAACAACGTAACGTGGAACAAGGTAATAATTTAAAATTATTCCAAAACCAGCCATTAATTAGTCATTCATATTACACGAATTACTAATAAATCTGTTATTTAAATTTTTTTTTAATATTCTAAAGTTTATTAAAACGTCGTGGAAATATATTTCCTCCCTCCCCCTCCTCCTCCTACCCACGATCGTTTGTTGTTTGTCTGTGTGTCGTAATTTTTGTTTGTTTGTTTTTTATATTTAAATCGCCTGGAGAAAGAAAAACCTTCTCGTCGAGATTTTTTTTTTTTTTTAATTAACTTCCCTTTTTTTTTAAATTTGGACGTGACGAATTTATTAAAAAAAAAAACTCGAAAAAGTGTAAGAAGAATACGTGGAATTAGATCGAAAATTTATGATGGGGAGAGGGAGGGGAAGGGAGAAGGAAAATGTCCACAAAATCCTTCTGTCCCTTCGAAACAATTCGAAAAAAGATTTTTTTTATTTTTTTTTTAATTTTTGTACAATAAAACAAACAAATAATTACGTTTGTACTCGTTTGTCGTTCTGGTTGTTGTACTGGTTGTTGTTGTTGTTATCTAGTTGTTAGTTTGTTTTCGTGCAGGAAACGCCTTTTTAAAAAAAAAACAAAAAAACTTTTTATTGATAATTAGTATTTGGTTCGATGTTAAAAGACGGTTGAATTTTGCGTTGCGTGGGGAGGGGAGAGGAGGAGTAAGAGATGGAAATGTGAGGGAAGGGGAAGGGAGGGGGAAGAGTGCGTGGAATTAGAATGAAATTTTTTTTTTTTTTTTTCGAATTTAATAATTGTTTGCCGAAGGGCGTAACACACGTTCTATGATGACGATTATGAATTTTTCCATAAAACATTTTCATTTAATAAAAAAAAATTTTTTTTTTATATTCTTCTGCCACGACAAAAAAACCAAAGTAAAACTAATATTACGTGGGATAAGATAATTTTTTTGTCTTTTGCAAACGGGAATAAAGGAAAGAGAGAAAGAGAAGTAAAAGGGAGGGGAAAAAAAATGGGAAAATGAGGAGGAGCAGGACGGACGGACGTGGTGGGGTAAGGGAAGGAAGAGGAGAGGATGAAAGATAACGTTGGCAAAACTGTTTATGACTTACAAAGGAAAATAACTTCAATTTCTTTATTGCTAAATCCTTAGCAATTAACGACCCGTGGATTAATTACATCGTAACAAAAAATTTTTTTTTTTTTAACACGAAACGAGAGTAAAAAAGTCCTTTGAATTTTCCTTTTCGATACCTTTTCGTAACCCTTTTTTTTTACACGTTCCTTTCGTCCTTTTTTATATGGGGGAAAGGGAGAAGGGAGGGAGAGAGAGGGAGTGTTTACGGTTTACCTTTGATTTTATTTACGGAGATTAGGTGTCCTTATAGTTTAAAATAAAAGTCTATATAATTCGTTGAAATCCCACGGGAACCGGAAATTTTATACCTTTTTGTGTCTTGACTTTTTTTTTGTGTCGCATCCGTGAAATTCCATTTTAAAAAAAAAAGTACGCGCGTTATCACGACGCTGTAGCGTACCTGAAACGCTCGCTTTTTTTTTTTTTTATAAATTTACTAAAATTTTGATTTATCGACTGAACGGTAATAGCAGCAGCTGAAGAAAAAATTTTTGAAAAGAGATAGTGGAGGGAGGAGGGAGGATGGGGGGTATTTCTCTCTCTTTTTATTCCAACGGGATGGCAGTGACATTGAATGAGTGCGTGATTGATGACGACACCACCCCATATAACCATATTCTAATTTTTAATCTCTGTGATTACGCACCGTGAAATATCTTCATAACTTCCCGTTCTTTCTTATTTTTCTATCTCTCTCTCTCTCTCTCACTCTCTCATTTTTACGTCTCTCCCTTCCACACTATCCATCATTTCTCTCTTTCCCTTTTTATTTTTATAATTTTCCCGTACATCATCATCATTATTCTTTTTTTCATTCACCGAATGAAATTTCCAGCAAAAAAAAAGAAAAACTTTTTCTAACTCTCTCTTTCTCTCTCTCTCTTTTTTTAATTTTAATAATGACAAGGGCGCGAAATTACTGGATCGGGATTCGTTTCTCGAACTCGTTTTCATTATTTATCCGCTGGAAAAATGATAATAATAATAATAATAATCGTTTACCGTCCCACGTTTGTTTTGTTAAACAAAATTAAACTGATTTTATTATTTGTTTGTTTGTTTGTTTGTTGGTTGGTTGTTGGATACTAATGACGAAAACGACAGGAAAATTTTTTTTTGAAATGACGTCACGGGTTTCTTGTAACTCTTTTACACGAAGAGAGGCTGCCGGAAAATTATATCTTTGGTATCTATGACGTAATAAATTTGATTCTCTCTCTCTCTTTCTCTATTTATCTCTATGGATAACCTTTAATTGTTTTATTATTTTAAAATTTTTTCTTTTTATTATTATTATTATTATTTAATTTATAATTTCGTCCTTAAAAAGTTTCATTGTTTAAAAAAATCGTTTGTGTTACCTTACCCCCCACCCCCCCGCCACCGTTCGTATATTTCCCGTCTCTTCATCAACGAAATCATTTAATAAAAATAATAATACGTTGGAATATTCTTTTCTTTTTCGAAAGCTCACCTTTTCTTTCGATTCCCGGTTTTTTTTTCCTATCAAGGCTTCCTACAGGAACTCGTTTTTTTTGTTTACAAATCCTGGAAAAAATTCATAACCTTGCGAATGTAGAAAATAAATAAATAATCGATGATGATTACGATGTGAGAAATTTTTTCTTGTCTTTTTTATGTTGTTGTAAAGAATTCGAAAAGAAAACTCGATTTTTTCTGGCGTCTAGGACGTCTATTACATAATAATAATAATAATAATAATAATAATAATAATAATAATAATAATAATAGATAAAAAAAAGTAAAAATTTCACTTAATTAACCTTGCAAAAATTATTATTATTGTTGTTGTTGTTGTTGTTTTGGTTTAAAAAAAAATTTTTTTTTGTGTTAATTGTTGTTGTTTGTTTGTAGTGGTTGTTGTTAATGATTATCATTATTATGAAATAATTTTAATAAATTAACAAATGTATATATAATATAATTAGTAAATAATTGTTTATAATCATGTTAATTATCATCGTTATAATGTTTATATTGTTTTCCTTCATTAACAAACGACATTTTTTTTTTGAGAGAGATTTTCATCATCATATCCGTTAATATTCCAGGTATGCGTGGACATGTCATCTTCCAAAACGCAAAATGTTTGCCTTCGTTTTTCAACAGACACACGACCGTGAGTAGCAATTATTATTATTATTATTTTCACTAATAATCACGATGGCAATTCGTCTTAATGTTTATCAACAACTTTTTCAACCCTTATTCCACATTGTTCCTACCCGCCGATCCCTAGGGAATATGAGTGATGATATTACATGCCTGCTGATGGATAGATTTCGTCTTTTTATAACCTATGACGTCACAACAATTCTTGTACGAACCTTTCACTGAGACCATCTTATTCGATGGAATTATTATTATTATTAATTCATTCTCGTATCCACAATTATCCAAAATTTCCTTTTTAAAAACAAATCTGGAATTTTTGGGGAAAAATAACAAAATTACACTTTTTAATTCAGGTACTATTATTATTATTATTTATTAATTAATAAAAACAATTTAATAATCAATTAATTTTAACGATATCATCTCGTTTAAAACTTTTTGTTTTCTTGCGGGAACGTTTCCTTTTATTCCCTTTTTTCCCATATTCTCCCGCCGCCGACTTTTCATTTAAACTTGAATGGGAGATAACTGATGACGTTTTATACAAACACGACGTCAGCATCCCGAAGGAACGTCTGCGTAATCATCAACAACGACTTCCTTTTCACCTTTGTGTGTGTGTGTGTGACGTGGGTAGTAGCAGAAGATCATCGTTTTCTCCTGTACGTCACTTCCGTCCATTCGCAATCCATGGGTTCATCAATTCCTCCTCCTCCTCCTCCTCCTTCTTCTTTACTTCCGTCCACGTCGTCGTCGTCGCTTTCGCTACTTTCTTCGCTGTCATCGTGAATTTTCCTAGGAGGAGGATGTGGAGGATTATATGATATGTCGAGCCAAAGATCGCAATGTGGTAATTTATTTATTTCCAGTCTTAATTCGTCGTGTTTTCCATTTTGAAACAAATCAAATAGCTGGAGTATGACTTTGGAAACTTCTCGAACGGAATCATCTTCCAAAATCGTTTCCAATTCGCTGTCCATGTAATCCGATATCAAATCTTCTAAATCTTCGCATTCTATTTTGTTGTTCCTGGAAAAAAAATACAGGTTCCTTTGAATACACCTTTTCTCATTTCGGACGCTCTTCAATCCCTTTTCTTCCTTCTCCTCCAACTTCCCTTTCCGGTTTTACCACCGGTAATACTTACGTGAATAAAACTTCGTTTATGTAATCAATCAAGTACAGGGCTTTCTCTTTGCTTTGCCTTCCTCCCGATTGATGTTCGACTGATAATTTTAATCCGCTCCATCTATTCAATATATTTTGTACGACTCCTTTAAAAATGGCCGCCGTTTCCATTACGTTATTACGTTTATTCACTCTGTTTTTTAAATAAATAAATAAAAATGGCATGTAATTAAAAAAAAAAAGTCTAGAGTTTTGAAAAGAAAGAAAAAAAACCCACAATAAAAAAAAAAAAAAAAAAGAAAAAAAAAAGACAACGTTTTAATTGATGTAAATAATAGGTTTGCATAAAAGTAAATTTTCTTTCATGGTACAAAGAATTCAAAAAAAAAAAGGGGATGAGAGGGAGAGAGAGAAAGAGAGACATAAAGGGAGAAAGAGCGAGAGAAAGAGAGAGACAAACATTTATTTCTTTTTAACTGTCTTCATCAGTTGAGAAAAAAAAAAAAAAATGTCTTCTGAGATGTATAAATAATTTTTTTTTTAATGATTTTAACAGGTTTTTTATAATAATGATGATGATGATGATGATGATGATGATGAGGAATAAATTTTTATCGGCGAATAAGAAGGAAGGGAGGAAGTGGAGGGGAGGATGAGAGAGGGGAAAACAAAGAAAAATGGTCAACTACAAAAATTTATAACAGGACATTAAATTTGGTAATAAATTTAAAACTTAATAAAACTTTTAACAAAAACAATGTCTTTTTCTATACTTTTAAACGACGACGACAACGACGAGGAGGAGGAGGAGGAGGAGGATTCCTTTGGGATTACAACTTAAATATCTAAACTTTTTTTTCCCTGTTTTTTTTTTTTTTTTTTAATAGACTTTTCACTCGAAGTAAAAAATTTTTTTTTTTTTTTTTTTAATTTCAACTGTCAAATTGGCTTGTGAGTAATCACTGTTTATATTCGTTTTAATTAATGACATAATAATGATAATATTAATAAGCATCAGACATTCACAATGAGTTAAAGAATGTAATTCGAAAAAGTCTCGACAAATGTTTTTTTTTTCAATAACTTCACATAAATCATTAATTAATGATGAATTTGATAAATAATTTATATTGGAGTATTTGAAAGTAATTAAATTATTATTTTGGTAAAAAGTAAAAGAAAACGTTAAAGTAATAAATTGAAAATAAATATAAGACAAAATATGTACACTTTGGGTAACTTTTGGGCAAATATACATAAGGTGTAATTTTTAACCTTTTGAGGTTAGGTTTTCCATACTTCTTATCCATTAACGCAAATATATTATTAGGAAAAAGTTGTTTCGTCGCAATTTAGGAAAATGTAAAGTATTTATGTGAAGAGAAACAGAAATAATACATAACTATTTAAAACCAAGAGTAAATCACGAGGAAAAAAAAAGAAATAAAAGCACGAATGATAATTAATGGAAATCGAATACAAAATGGCGGAATGAAATAATGAAGAGATATAGGTAGGATAAAGTTATAAGAAATATAATAAACTTACAATGAAATTACAAATCGTTTTATCCATGCGGAATGAATTCAAATTTAAAACGAATAATGCGAGGTGACGATATTCGAAATCATCGGGGCCACTTAAGATTTGAGTATGAAATCACGCGAATTATTAAAAAAGAGGGCCCCGATAAATTTTTTTTTATTCAAACATGAAATCGTCGTGTTTTTAGTCGGTAGGCATTGAATACCAGCAAATGGCAACCACTACTGATAACTAATTCGCAGGGAAAAAAATTTTTTTTTTTTTTTTTTTTTTTCTTCTTCAATTCAAAATAAATGATTTAAAAATTAAATTAAATTATCGAAGGTAATTATTAGTAACGGTTACGTAATGTGATAAACAATTAATAATAATGTAATTTCGTTAAACGCGAAAGAAGAAAGAAGAAAAAAAAAAGCAAAAAAAAAAAAAAAAAAAAAGAAAGAAACGTACGACGACATATATATTTTCGTTTATATAAAATGTATTTTAAAAAAAATTATTTATCGTGTCAATATTCGAAATCGTCTTTGACAAACGTCATTCACCAAAGATAATATTAAATGAAATATTGATAAAAATATAATAATAGGTGTTAAAACAAACGAAAATAATAATAATAACAATAACTAACAATAATACGCAAGGTTGGGTTCCGTTAATCATAAACCAGTTTTTCCTTCATCGGTTTCATTATTATTATTATTATACGTACGTACGTAAAAAAATTAAAAAAAAATAGAAAATGAAGAAATTATTTTCAAAAATTGAATCGACTGGAAAAGAAGGAGGACACAAAGATAATCATTTTATAGGAAAAGTATTCAATGTAGGCCGGACTACGGTTACTGTCGAAGATGTCTTAGCTGAAGGTAAGTTTTTGTGAAAAATTTTATTTATATTAATTTAAAAAAAAAGAAAATGAAAAAATCTTTACTTTTCTATAACGATCGAACGTGTTTTTTGACATTGAACTATTATTATTATTATTTAAATTAATTGCGTAATGTAAATTTATTAAGCAATTTATTTACTCTAATTTCCGAGGTTGTTTTCATTAATTTTTAATTATCAACATATATTTTACATGATTAATTTTTTTTGCACGATAAGAAATCTATTGAAGTAAATAAATAAATAATAATGATAGTAATAACCACAACATAAAAATTTATGTATGTGCTAAAGAGTGTAAAAAAGGTACGGATGGAGTATTCGATGTTGGTTAAATCGATATCATGTTGAATCGAAACCAAAAGAAAAAAAAAATTGTTACTTGTTTAAACTTGTTTAATTTTATTGATTATTTGTTTGAGTTTGATGAGTGATAATAATAATAATTGATATTGTTTCAGGTGGTTTTGCCATGGTTTTTTTAGCCAAAGGCTCTGGAGGAGTTCGATATGCCTTAAAAAGAATGTATGTTAATAATGAACACGATTTGAACATAGCCAAAAGGGAAATACAAATCGCTGTGTGTATTTTATCATATTATATTTATCATATGATAAAAAGATGTTTCATAAAAGAGTAATATATTTGTTTGAAAACCATTTCAGAGTAATTTAAGTAATCACAGAAATATAATAGGTTATGTTGGAAGTAGCATAACTCATACGGGTGGAGGAGTTTATGAAGTTTTGCTTTTGATGCCTTATTGCAAGACTCATGTTTTACAATTGATGAATCAAAAAATGCAAACAGGTTTTACTGAAAAAGAAATATTAGATATATTTACAGATGTTTGTCAGGCTGTTAGTAGGTTACACCATTGTCAGACTCCAGTCATACACAGAGATTTAAAGGTGGGAATGATTAACACTTTTCAGAGGGAAGTCTTCGATTCGAATGATGCAATAATTTTTTTTTATGTCATAACGACAGGTGGAAAACATTCTCCAATCTGATCAGGGACAATTTGTGCTTTGCGATTTTGGTTCTGCAACTGGTAAAATTTTACATCCTGCCGTTCAGGGAGTTGCTCAAGTCGAAGAAGAAATTAATAAATACACAACGCTGAGTTATAGAGCTCCTGAAATGGTTCACTTATACGGTGATCAACAAATCACTACGAAAGCTGATATTTGGGTAATTTTATCAATTCATTGTGTTTTTCTTTTAACTGATTCATTCATTCACTCATTCATTCATTCATTCAACTTTATTTTTTCTTTTTTAGGCTTTAGGTTGCCTTTTATATAAATTATGCTTTTTCAGTTTGCCTTTCGGTGAAAGCACTTTAGCTATACAAAGTGGAACATTTACCATTCCAGATAATTCGAAATATTCAAAACAAATGCATCAGTTAATAAGTAAGTTTATTAAACTTGAGACTTGATGATGATGATGATGATGATGATGATGATGAATAAGAAGATAACATATTAATTGATATGAACGTGACCTTGATATGACATTTTATTACTAACGTTGATTGTATTAATTTCAGGATATATGTTGGAACCGGATCAAGAAAAAAGACCAGACATATTTCAAGTATCGTATTTGGCATTTTTAATTGCTGGAAAAGAGTGTCCAGTACAAAATTTACACGTAAAAAACATTATTATTTATTTTTAAATTTTTTAATGTCGTTGGTTTGAATTTCATGACAATTTCGACGTTTGTTTGATTTTACAGAAATCCCCCGTTCCCTCGTTAGAAAATTTAGAAGTTCCAGCTTTCGAAAGCGATGCGAAAAAAGTGCCCTCATTAATAAAGCCTTCGAAAGGATCTAATAAAGAATTGCAACCCCCTCAAATGGAGGGTACGAGCGTGACTCCGAGGCAAAGGCCCAAAGGGGGTCATAATCTTCCTCCGGCATTGTCTGGACCCAGAAGGCAAAACATAAACCCGAGTCCAATAAATGCAGACAATAATAATACGAATACATTCCAGGTGAATGAAAAAAAAAAAAAATGAAAATTTTCTTGACATTTTTTTTTGTCGATTATTTAATCGTTTTACTTTTTTTTTTTTTTTTGCTGGAAAATAAAAAAATTTTTATTTTTTTAGCAGTCGTCCGGACAATTCCAGTCACAGAACATGGCATTCCAACCACAACCGGCTGCTAGTTCGGCTAAGCCTTCTGCTTTTCTTCCTAGTAACCAATTTCCTTGTTTTTTTTCCAGCGATTCCACTTCCTCACCCTATTTTGAAACACAATTCGATGGTGATTCGGTTGCAACAATAGCGAGTCCACAAGTGATTAGTCCGGAAAATAACGAACTCGCCGATAATCTTTTCCAAAACACGGGTGAGTATATCGAATCGAATCGAATCGAATCGAATGAATTTCGATATATATCGCAGATCGAGAAAATTTTCAAATTTTTTTTTTAAAAATAATTTTATAGTTTATCCGGATCCATTCCGAGAAGAGAATCAACACGATTCCCTGACATCCGGTTCGGCAAGTCACACTCTTTCACAAACCATAACCAAAGTTAATTCTGACGCCACGTCACCCACACCTCACGGTCACCGTAGAAACGTGAGCGACACTTCTGCTTTTAACAAGTAAGACACGAACGTTTCTTTCCCCCCCGTCCCCAATCCCGAATTCCTGGATTTGAATTTAAATTTTCCTCTTTTAGAGTTTTCGCAAATGAAACTAGTCAATTTTTGGCACCCTACGAAGCGAGCGTTAAATCAAGGAGCAGTTCCGGAAGTCCACCCGGTGGAGTCGCAGAAGGAACCGAAAATTTTCATTTGACTCCAAACGACCAACAACAACAACAATCGCAAACGCAATCATCTCAACAACCGAAAATTTCCCTCGGAGTTTCCGCATCGCACGTGAGTTTTTTAAAAGTGGGAGGGGGGGGGAAATGACGTGGCAAATTCGATTCGATTATTTTTATTTTTATTTTTGTATCCCGTATTCCCGCAGGGAGAATTGACGAATGCGACGTTTGTGGAGGGGAGATCACTGTCGGCGGATGTCGCCGATTGGAATCCGTTTGACCAAGCGACATTCCAAAAAGATCCGGATTCTTTCGGCGAAGAATTCGACATGATAAGATCGAACAACAACAACAACAACAACAACGTCGTGATGACGTCAAAAGAAAATTTGGTCATGACTGAAGATGTTTTTAGCAGCGCTCCATTTAGTTTACCGGGTGAGTTTTTTTTTTTTTTTTACAAAAAGGAAAAATTTTCCAACATTTAATGGAAAATTTATTTTTTTTTTTTTTCCAAATTTTCACAGCATCAAGACAAAATAGTAAAGAAAGGCAAATTCAAAAGAAGGGAAATTCTGCAGGTAAATAAAATATTTACTCAATCTTCCTGCTACATTTTTATGCGACAGCATTTTTGTTTGCTTTGTTTTTTTTTTTTTTTTTTTTTTTTTTTTTTCGGGTGCCTTTAGAACGGTGTAGATAAAATTATTTTTGTTATAGGGATTAGGGAGATCGTTAATTGTAATCGTACACTCACACACATACACACTTTCATACAAACACAAACAGACACAAACAAACGATCAAACGTAATAAAAAAATAATGTAATGCATTTTGAGTTTGGAGCTTTTTTTTTGTTTGTCAAAAGCTCGAAATTCAATTTGTAATCGATTTATTTTGTAAAAAAAAAAAAAGGAAAATTTGTAAAACAAAACAAAACAAACCAAAAACAAACGAACAAACGGAAAATGTGTGACAGCACGCGGGCTTGGCTTTAAAAACGCAAAAAAAAAATAATAATAATAAATATTAAATTTGGAAAGTGGGATTAGAATAGAGAAAGGGATAGAGTAGAGCTAATGACACTAACTATTATTATTTTTGAAGTTTGGAGCTTTTTCATTTGTAAAATTTTGGCGTGAGAAAGAAAAGTCGCCATTTTGTTTTGCTTTCACGGAAAATCGGGGAAAAAAAATTATTTTCGTTTGATCGATATCCTCGGTATTTTTTTCTTTCTTTTCCATTTTCCTTTTCAATTTTTTTTTTTTTGTTGTCTATTTCCCCGTACGTCTCTCTCTCTCTCTCTCTCTCGCTCTCTTTCTCTCTCCGCGCGTCTCGTCTCCGACGCTTGTTCGTGCCACGGATCGATTAATCGATTTCGCGTTTCGTACTTAAAATAAAAAAAAAAAAAAATTTTTATTTTCGTCGTGGCATTTATAAAATATTTTATCATTGTTGCCACGGTGATCATTATCTTAATAATAATAATAATAATCGAATAAATCATTGTAATTTGCATAAATGTCGTTGTTTAAATCTAATTACACGTTTACGTTTTACACAAACGTATATAACTTCGAAACGATAATTTGATGACGTAGCTGTGGGAAACAAAAAAAAAAAAAAAAATTTTTATTATTTGCTCAAGTATGTGAGTGATCGCTAATGTGCGTGTGAATTTTTAGTTACTTTTTATCGTCTTCTGCCACGACGTGATATCGTTTCCTGTCTTCCCGCTTATCGTCCGACCAATTCAACATATTACAAACGTAAAAAAAAAACGTTCGAACAAATTTTTTTTTTTTTCGCTTTTTTTCTCCTTCCTCCCCCCCCCCCAAAAAAAAAAAAAACCTCCAGGTTTCTTTCGAACGCGCGCGTTTTTTTTCATCATTCGCCGCGTTAATTATTATTATTATTATTATTTTTTAAATGTGAAAAAATAAAAAGACACGCATACACATACACACACACACACAGGCGGAACCTCCTAATTATTTTTATTTTAATCATTATTATTATTATTACTATCATGTTTGTTGTTGTCGTTGTTGTTGTTGTTACGTTATTCAAATATAAAGTTTATGATATATATCTATGCTAATACATAATAATAATAATAATAATAAATGCATTGCTCATTTGTAAATGATGATTTAGCCTGTAAGAAAATACACGACAAATTATATATTTATGACGTAACATATGATATTATTATATTTATTATTATTATTATCTTTTGCACGGTATATGGGGAAAAAAAATAGGGCACAAAAATTTTATCTCTCGTACGTGGGAAATTATCATTATCATGACACGCATATATATATATAAAGAATTTTGTATATCGTAATGACGTCACAACAATATAAAGCGCCATAACAATGTGATGACGGTTTAATAATATAATAGTAATAATTAAAACTTAAATCGAAATATTTTATTTTTTTCTATTATTATTATTATTATTATGGAAAAGTGATGAATTATTATTATTATTATTAATAGTGTTGTTGTAGTGAGTTTACAAAAAAAAAAAAATTGTAATCAATAATATACATAAATATAGTTGTAGTGTGTTAATAAAAAAAAATAAATAAATAAAAGATTATATATATATTAAACATTCGATGAAGGATTTGTTGTAATTATAAATAAATGATAATGATGATGATAATAATAATAATATATTAGCTTGGCTTTAGAATTATTTTTTAACAATAATAATAATAATCCATGAGTTTATTAATTAATTAATTAATTAATGTAAAAAAATAATAAAATATTTATGTGAGTAATTTCAGGTTTGTTGTTGTTGTTGTTGTTGTTGTTTTCTAAAGTCAAGTCAATTTTACCGGATGGATGCGATGATGGCAAACGAATATAATTTATTTATTTATTAATAATAAAAATTTATTTATTTAAAAAAAAGTGCGTGAGTACGTGCGTACGTGCGTGCGTGGACACGTGCGAATAATTTCGATCGGTAATAAATTTATTCATTTATTTATTTATTGATTGTTAAACAAATTGCTTATTTCTAATTTCATTTATTTATTTATTTATTTATGTATTTATTAACTTTTTTTTTTTAAAAAATTATTTATTTATACGTTAAATATGTAAATATATTTATGTGCGTACGTGCGTATCATGCGTGCGTGTGTGTGTGTGTGTACGTGCGTGAATTTACTTAAATATATTTATGTATTTTTTTTTTGTTTTATTTATTTATTTGCTTAATATGTTTTTTTTTTTATATTATTATGTTTATATTTTAACTTTTTGTTTGTTTGTTTGTTTGTTTGTTTTCACGTTGAGATTATTATTTTTTTATATATATAAGTAAATAATAATAATAATAATAATCGTCTGATTAGGGGGTTCCAAAAAATAATAAAAAATTTTTTGTTTTTGACACGAACGCGAATTTTTTTTATCGAATTTTTTCGAAAATATTTTTACGCGGCGTTTTTTATTTTTGAAAATGTTTTTACGCGGCGTTTTTTTTTTTTTTTGAATTAATGAAAATAATTATTTATTATTTTGCTACGATATATATTTGAACTTCCTGCTCAGAAAATTTTTATTGTTTTTTTTTTTTTTAATCGTTGTCGCTTTTTGATTGCTTCGAAATTTTTTATTTTCACTCTCTCTCTCTCTCTCTCTCTTTTCTTCCCGTGGCCTTGACCCCCCTCGTAAAACGATTCTGGAGGGGCGTGGGGTATACATACACACGGGGAGAGAATGAGAGATTTTTTTTATTTATTTTTTTCTATGCTTGCTTATTTATTTTCTTTTGCTTTTTTGTCGTTCATTTTTTTTGTATTTGTTTCCTGTCGTTTGTTTTTTGTTTGTTTTAATAATCTGATTTGATTTTTTCGTTGTTGTTGTTGTTGTTACAGTTTTAAAACAGAATTGGTTAATACGGAAAACGATACAAGACGCTTTCGAAAATCAACATATTAATTTAAGTAGGAGGCTAAGTAGCGAAGGTGGAAATGAATTTTTAATCAACGACGATCAACAAGAGGAGGATGAACACGTGAAACAAGATCAAACGATAAAAATTCCATCGGAAAATCGATCCCAATACGAAAAGTTATCATCGACCCAAGAAGAATTCAGTTCTGATGACGAATTAGGTACGGGAAAGTCATTCGTCCCCTTGTGATTCCTCCCCTTCGTGTGAAAATTCCCGAAATCAATTGTCATGTTTATTATTTACAGGTGCCAAAGAATCTAGGAAAAAGTTGCAAAAACATCATCATCATCATCATCATCATCATCATCATCACGTTCACAAACCCAAACCCGGAACGTTGATAAAAAATTTAAAACCGCAAAATGCTTTGAAAGCGAGCAAAACGATCGTTCTTGCCAAAAAAAATAAATTACAAGATTCGTTGAGAAAGGGAAAATATGAGAAAAATTTCGATTCGGAAGATAATAATAATTCGAACAATCCGACCCTGACGCCGTCGACCGTTCTGGAACGACCGGATGAAGAACCCGAAGATGAGGAAGACGAAGAGGATTCGATCGGAAGCGCGTCGGATCTTCGTGACGTCAACGAATTGTCAGACGGTGACGGGGAGGAGGCTGTGAGCGAAAGCGAAATCGAAAGTCTTGACGTTCCCAGCATGTACACGTGCGGTTCGAGCGTGTATCACGCAGAGTGCGAAAGCATGACGGCGAGCAACACGTTCGAGACGAGACGGAGGAAAAGAAACGTGAGAGAAACGGGGATCAAATCGGAAGAAGAAGAGGATGATGATGATGGGGTCGCGAAAAAGGGAGGCGACAAACCGTTGCTCGAAGAATTCGAGAGCGACGGTTCGCCTCAATTGTGGGACACGACGTGGGACGCCGCGGAAGGGACGAAGGATGTTTTCGCGATGGCTCCCTTCCAGCGACCCCCCGAAGACGGAACGAAAAAGAAAAGTAAAATGAAATCAAATGATCTTGTCACGTTTTCGCCGGAAAAATTAAAATTAGATTTGTTGACATTTTCAGAAAGCGATTCTCAACACGATGAGAATAAGATGCCGGGGAAAAATTTCTGCAAATCCCCCAATTTGATTATCCTTTCGGAAAGCGATTCGGATTTGAAAAAACCACAAGAATCGGAAGAAACTCAAACGCTTCTCGCGAACGAATCCGAACAGGAAGTGAATCCGCATTTGATAAAAGACGTGACAGTCACGGAAAGATTACATTTGGTTCGGGAAAAATTGAAACCGTTGGAAAAACTCGACGAAACGGAGCATTTCGAAACGCAAGTCACCCCGACTAACACGACAATTGCCACCGCCACCACCCCGAGCACCAACAACCACAACAATCAATTGGAACATTCGTCGTTCTACGCGAACAATTCAAAATCGAATTTGTTTTCCGGCGACGACGAAGACGACGGTAATAATTTTCCGGTTAATTTGCAAGGATTTTCCCCGAATTCTTTTCCGAACGATAAAACGCCAGAATACTCGGCGACGACGGATCGTGACATATTCGGTTTCACTCCTTTTTACGTTCTCCCGAGCAACAGGAATCCGTTCGAAGGTGACGATTTCAAACCCGCGATGTACGAGACGAATAACGAATCCAACGTTATTAGTTACGGTAAAGGAGACGAGGGACAACAATTTCTGAGCGGGTATAACACGTTGAGCGGAAACGACAGATCTCCATCTCCCGTGTACAATAACAAGGCGTCGTCGTCGCCGCCGCCGCCGCCGCCACCCTCGTCGCAAAAAATATACGAAACCGGATATGGTAAAATGGTTAACGAAAAAGAATCCAAAGTTCATTTCAGTCTAAGCGATAAGATATTGGGTTTTAAATCCGAGAAAAAAATCTACTACGATAGTCTCAAGCACGAGGAAAAAGTGAGGAAAAAATTAGAGGATAAATACGAGAGGAAAAGTAAAAACTGTGATAAACCGGAAAAGGAAAAGCATAAAAAGCACAACAAGAACGATAAGAAAATCGAACGCGGATTCAGCAACATGAGTTTCGAAGATTGTTGTTTGAGCGGCGAGGACAACAACGCCGAGGATATATGTGCCGTCGATGGGAGAATAAAAAATTTCAAATCCGTTCGGGGGAGAAGCAATCCGTTCGCGTAGTGGTGCCAGCGGTGGCACCGGATGTTTTCCTTTTTTCCTTTTTTTTCCTTTTTTTTTTTTTTTTTTCTGTTTTGTTCCTCCGTCGTCATCCCGATTCGACAGATCGACCCCTCGCGTGTTCTGGCTGGCCTCGTTCAGGTACCGGAAGTTAAAAGAGGAGGAGGTGGGAGATGGTGACGATGGTGGCGATGACGGTGTCGGAAGAGAAAACGCATACATTCCGTACATCGTTTGTTTGTTTTTTTGCATTAAAAATTTATTTTTCGGTTGGTTGTTTGTTTGTTTCTTTGTTCGTTTAAAAAGAACGTTTGTTTGCTTTCTCGCTTGCTTCCTTCCATTTCCGTCGTGGTTTTAATTTTTTTTTTTTTTTTTCACTTTTTTTGGTTTTTCCGAAAAATTGTTTGCGAACGTTTTCAATCAGGTTCAGGTTGTTTGTTTGTTCTACTACCACGACTAAAACTGTGAATGGGGGGTGAGTGAGTGAGTTAGAATGAACGTTTTTCCGAAACATTTTTTTCATTCCTTTTTTTTTTTTTTTACTATCCCTTGGCGCTCTGAATTTTCGAGACTGAAAAATTTTATTATTACTATTATTATTATTACGGTCTACCTTTAAGTTTAAGGTTGTAGTATTATTATTATTTTTTTAAATTTAATCATTCGAGGAGGAGTTGATAAAATTTGTTGTTGTGCGTCTTCATTGGTTGTGATATGACATTAAATTAATTTAATTTAATTATTATAATTGAAAGAAAAAGAAGGAGAAGGAAGGAGAAAGGAGAAAGGAGAAGAAAGGAAGAAGAATGATGATGATGATGATAATAATGATTGATGACGCCGCGAAGAAAAAAAAAAAATGTTGTTGTTTTGAATACGCGCTGTGATATATATATTATAAATTATAATTTTTTTTATATTTTTGATAAAGAGCAGCTAAGGTTAGAAAGAGATAGATAGATAGATAGATAGTGAGGGAGAGAGAGAGAGAGAGAGAGATAGACGCACAAGGAAATGTGCGCGTGTGAAAGCGTAAATACGCGTGCGAATGGTTTACGCGCTGCTTTAATTTTCATATACGAAAGTTCCTGCGCGTGCGTTTTTATCATTATTATTATCATCATTAATTTTTTTTCAACGGGCAGCGTGTGTGACGTTACGGACAGGAGAAAATAATAATAATAATAATAGGAGAAAGAAGGATGGACGAATGGATGGTAGGAAATTTTTCCGGTTTTTTTTTTTTTGGACATGGATGATCCCTCTGGAAGAAGTGGTATATAAAAAAATGTCGGAGCCGGAATTTTTTTTTTTTTTTTTTAATTTATTTTTGTAATTTAATTTTTTTTTTTTTTTATTGATAAATGTACTGTGTATATTTTTTTTATTATACATAAATATATATATATATATTATAGTATTCGATGCGAGTTGTTTATGACGTCATAAATATTGTGAATTGTGGCGATGGTGGCGTCATCGTCCTCGTCGTCGTCGCTGAAAATACAAAAAAATTTTTTTTTTTGTGTTTTTATTAGAAAAATCATCATTATTATGATAATAATGATAATCGTCGGTGATGATGACGATGATGAGGATTTATCGAAACGATCCCCCTCGCCCCCCCCCCCAAAAGAAAACCCCCATTCGAGAGTTTTCTTTTTGTTTGTAGGCGCGCGTTTATGAAAACGAATTTTTCTTAACCGATCTGGAAACCGGATTTACTGGAGAAAAAATATATAAATGAATTGATTGCCTTTTTGGAATTAACCACGTGACAAAATTAATAATGATAATAATGATAATAATAATAATGATTTTTCATTTGATTAAATGTAATCGACTCGTTTTTGATTAGATTCTTCCATGGTTACACCTGAATGAAAGTAAAAGTATCATTATTATTATTATTATCATTATCATCATCGATATAAATACCAATCGATAATTGATTTTATCGATTATTATTATTATTAATTGAAAAAAATTATTTTTAATTTTTCCCCTGGGGGTTAATTACAATAATAAGTGTGCGAATAAAAACTTACTTCTCGTCGTCGTCGTTTTTAATTATTTAATTTTTGATGACGTCATTGTTTAGGTTTTATAACGTCATCGATCGTTTTTACACTTTTGAATCTGTTCCGAACCTAATGAGAAAAATTACAAGTGCCATTCATTATAACGGTAAAAATAAATTTTTTTGAAAAACGAATAATTAAAATTCTGTACCTGTACCTTAAATATGTATAAAAAGGTTACGAAAAGGTTATTTATAAGAATATTGAAAAAATTAGCGGCCATGATGTTAATAATAATAATGATAATAAATGTTAAATTATTTTTCCCGAACGGACGATCGTCGCGCTACGGTGGTGTTTTTTTGCAACTGAAAAAGGTTTTCGTCGCATTTGTGTGTGACGTCATCTCTTACGTCAGTGTAATAGTCGAAGGAACGAAAAGAAAACAAAAGGGCGAGCTTTTGTAAAAATTTTCTATTTTGTTTGTTTGTTTGTTCGTTTGTCGCGATCGGAAAACTTCGTTTGTTCTCTCTCTCTCTTTTTACCGCGATTTATTGGAATGACTTTGCCGAAATCTTTTAACGTTCCGTATGATTTGCAAAAAAATTTTTTTTTTTCAAATGCGAAATAATAAATCGTGCAATGTCACCGTACGAACAAAAGATTTGTAATTTGAAAAAAAGCACGCATGCGTACTTTGAAAAAATGCGCGGCGTACGAAACGCACAAAATTTGCATTTTATTATTATTATTATTACTCTTCCTTTATTTTATATATATTTTAGGCGTTCGCTTTAACAAATCATTTTTTTTTTTTTCATTTGTCATTGCGGGAAACCGCAAATACAAAAAAAAAAAAAAAAAAAAGTCATCGTTCGATGATGGCGCGCGAGTTTGCGCGATATGTAATTTATACCAAAATGGCTGCGGTTTGAAAAAATGGCGTCGTTTTTATACGAACTTTTTGAATTTTTTTTGAACAACTTTTCGTATGCGTACCACCACCCGAATCAACGTTCGATTCGTAACAATAATAATAATAATGATTTGTATTATCAATCGTAACGAACGGGAATGATAAGGAAAAAAAAAATTCATAAAAGAAAATAAACGAACGTTAAACGATTTGAAAAGGTATCGTTTCTGCATAATGCAATTTCTGCAGTAAGGTACGCGATTATTAACATGGAATCTTATAAAGAGTAAGAGAGAGAGAGAGAGAAAAAGAAACGTTTGACAGTAGTCGTCCGGTTGTAACGTTTAAAACGTCCCGCGTCGTCGCGTTATTATTATTATTAATATTAAAATTCGTCTGGAAAAATTTTTTTTTCTTTTTTTTTGGGGTATTTTTCTACACGCACCTGGAAAAATAAATCATTACGGAATATTATTATTATTATGCGTAAAAATTATTATTAATATTAGTTGACATATATTATTATTATTATTCCCGCGATTTTTTTTTGTTTTGGGGGGAAAGAAAAAAGTGAACGAAAGGTTCGTTAATAACGTTTTTTTTTATTAAATAAAAACTGGAGAAAAATAGATAATTTTCCAGGTACGGTAGAGAGAGAGAGAAAGAAACGAAACGAAAAAAGTGAAAATCCGTTAAATTTCGACAAATTATTCGATTATTATTATCATTATTATTAGAATTCTAAGAATTTTTCTAACGATTCCTCCGCCACCTCCTCTTCCTCTTCCTCCTCGACTTCCCCTCTTTTTATTTACCCCTACTTTTTTCAAACCCCGAGGGAAGTATTTGATAGAAATTTAAAATAATAATTAAGTGAAAATATTTTTTTTGTGAGCGTACCAAAAATCAAAGAATTTACGTTTTAAAAACGATCAATCAGTCAATCAATCAATCAATCACTCAATCAATCAATCATTCAATCAATCGGTATGAGTTCAAATTTTTTTCCGTAACGTATTCATATACTCTTTTTTTATTATTTCCTTTGTGGCCACTGCTGACTTTGTCTCTCTCTCTCTCTCTCTTCATTCCTCTTTTTCCCCTCCCCCTTCTCCTTTTCCTTCACCCCACAATCGTTGGCGCGAATCTCGCGAGAATCGATTAATCGAAATTTTAATGAATTGTAATTTACGTATAATAAAATCGATTCGATTTACTCCTTGTCGAAGTAGACAGACAAGAGGGGTGGATGGGGTTATGAGGAGAAGAGGGAAGGGGAGGGGGAGAGGGAATGAGCTAGAGAGACAAAAGACAGAGACGGCGGTGAGAGGAGGAGGAGGAGGAGGAGGGAAACGATCACGATTGGAAAAGGGAGGAAATACAGAGCGAGAGAAAGACGGGGAGGAGAAAGAACGAGAGCGAGGAAGAGAGAGAGAGCGTGTGGAAGTGAGCGAGCGAGCGAGAGAGAAAGAAAATTTAAATTTTTTTTTGTAATAACGTTCGTCGAATTATGATTTTCAAGGAAGGAATAAATGAAAACCTGAAAAACGGCTTTTAATTATGGCCGCATACGGACAAACGTACGTTATCGATTATTTTCGTAACATTAGAAATTAAATATTTACAAATAATAATACTAATAATAATGATAATAATTTTTGCGGTTAAAATCATTAATTTTTTGTCGCGGTTTCCTTAACGTCATTTCACCCGCCATGTTTGTTTTTTTTTCTTTTTTTCATCTCTTTCCCCATCGTCCCCCCCCCCCCTCTCTCTCTCTCTCTCTCTCTCTCCCACACATTTATTTCCGCAGGGGGTAGAACAACCTAAAATAAAATCCTTAAAAGGTTCAAAGTGAAAATTGCCAAAAATGAGGAAAAAAATTTTTTTTTTTTTTATATTAGAAAAAAGACAAAAAAAAAAAAAGAAAATTAAAAGAAAATGAATGAATTTTTCATGTGGCGAATAAACATCGTGTCAATAGAAAAAAATAAATAAATAAATAAATAAATAATTTGTGTAAATAATTAATTAAAAGAAGTGAAAAAATTTTTATATATAAAAAAATGAATTCGAATTATTTGTTAAATTATTATTATTATTATTATTATTATTTCATTTGTTTTTTTCATTTGGTAAGTAATTAATTTATTATTATTATTATTATTTTTAAAAATCAATCAGTTTCGCCAACATTCTTATCGTGAAAATCCAACATTGTATTTTAATATCGAACGATTTAATTATTTATTACGTAATCATTATTATATCGATTTATCGATTTTATATATGCAATAGATTTACAGGTAAATTTTTTTTTTATTAAAACGACCTCGCATTAAAAAAAAAAAAAAAATTGTTGTCGGTTTTAATTATAATTTAATTCATCCTGGAATTAAATTTTAAATTCCAGGAAAGAGCAGACGAAAGATTAGGTAAGGATGGTAACGGGATGAGTTCGGGTAGTAGAAGGACGAACCCGATTTCTCCCCCCCTCCGCCATCTTCCATTTCACGTAAATAATTAATTTATTCTCGGAAAAAAAAATTAAAAAAATTAAAATCGATTAATCGATCGATATATCGAAAATCACGACAACAACTAATCGTATCGATAATGATTCAAACGGGTCGATAACATTTTCGTGTCGAAAAAACAAAATAAATAAAAACTTTCCTATTATTATTATTATTATTATTATTTATGTTTTATGCAACTCTTCCCCCCCCGGCAGATCTTCCCCCCTCCCCTCTCACGGTCCCCCCAAAAAAAAAAAATTTCTACGCGTTTTTATTTATCGATTTTATATATATATATAATACGTTGACGGGATAGGACTGGTTACACGCGCACGAACGCACTTACATACTCACACGCGCGCACTTGAAATATTGTTAACGTAGGTTCTCTCTCTCTTTCTCTCTCTCTCTCTCTCACTCACACACACACACACTAATTAATTTTCGCCACGTTATTTATTTATAAATTATTATTATTATTATTATTTTCTATAAATAAATATTTTCATACACATAACCGAAAGTATTATTATCATTATTATTATTATTTAGTATATTCGAGTTGTTATTATTTTTACTATTTCCGCGTTTGACCTCGAAATATTATTATTATTATTATTATTACCATACGTTAAAAATTTTTTCGAGGACGTTTTAATCACGTTTATTATTATTATTATTATTATTATTACTTTTATTACCGCGTTGTATTTTACCTGTGTGTGTGTGTGTATACGTATTATAATTATTATTCATTACAAAAAAAGTATTAATTAATTAATAATAATAATAATAATAATAATAATAATAATAATAATAATAATGTTTTTAAACGAGGGGATTCACCGTTTCTCGTGGTTTTTTTTTTTTTTTATTATTATTTTCTCGTTCGTTCGTTCGATCGATCGAACGATCGATCGTTAATTATTTATTACCTTGATACGCGTTTTTTTAAAGTCGTTTTTGGTATAAAAAAAAAAAAAAAAAATGTCTGCGTTCTTAATTTTTTGTGTCAGGTATTAGGTGCAAAAAAAAAAAAAAACTTGCAGAAATTTTAACTGTTGTCGAATAAGTATAACAACGCATACGTAAAATGACTCGTTTCGATCAGTTATGGAAAATTTCAGAGAGGGAGGGGAATGGGGGGGAGGGGAATCGTGTCAAAGGTCACGAGAGATCATCGTTTCGATTTGTGAGGTTCGTAAGAGATTTTCAAAAAAAGAAGAAAAAGAAGAAAAACGAGGAAAATTTTCAGGGTAAATGATGATCCTCAAAATTCTTGTTTAAAATAACACGGTCGTAACGGTTTATTATTATTATTATTATTATTATTATTATTATTATTATTATTATTATTATTATTATTATTATTTTCGGAGTCGTTAAGGAAAAGTTATTTACGTATTTAAAATTCTCTAATTGATTAATTAAATCCGGTAAAAATTTAATCGCGTGGTGATAAGATGATATTAATCTCAGTGACCTTGAAAATTTTAAACATGTCTCTCGTTTCGTTTGATACGCGGGAGTCTGGAAAATCGGGAATTTTCTTCACTCGCACGCACGCACGCACCCACACCCACCCACGCCCTCTCTCTCTCTCTTTAGGTTTTTTTTTTTTTTTTTTTTTTTTAAAAATCAGGTACGATTGTTTCGATTGGGAAATTTTGTTTCTTTTTCATTACGTATTCGGTTATGTTTTCGAATGTTTTTTTTTTTTTTTTTTTTTTTACGTAAAATTTATTTGTTATGTTAATTAGAACAAAAACCAACACAACGGAATGCGTTTGTTGGACGTTTGAAATGATATTTGAAAAATGAAAGTAATTAACGAACAAACGACGAAGACGAAGAGATGGACGGAGGGGGGGGAAGGAATTAATGTGACGTCACGCGCCATCGTCGCGAACGGCCCCTGAAAATCTAACAGAAAAAAATGCCGGAAGGTGTTGATAACTTTTTCTAGAAACTTTAAAAAAGTAATAAAAAAAAAAAAATTTTTTTTCGAGGCGAAATAAAAATCAAAAAGCGATTAATTATTATTATTATTATTATTATTATTATTATTATTATTATTATTATTATTATTATTATTATCATTATCATTATCATTATCATTATCGTGGTTATTATTACCTAATTAATTAATCCATTAAATCAATTTATTATCGTTTCCGGTTTTGAATTTAATCAAAAAAAAAAAAAAAAAATTTTTTTTATAGCTTGTCGATCAATCACGTTAACAATAATAAAAATAATAATAATGATGATGATGATAATAATGATAATAATGATCGATTTTTTCGATCGAGAGTTTTTTTTTCGATTTCGATTTCGATTCTCGCGTCGATTTCTCATTTTTTACTCACTTTACTTATGAGGTGCGATATATATGTTTTTTTCAAATGCGAAGGTCAAAGTTCAAAGGTTAACAATTTTAGGCATCGTGAAAATAAGTAATATTGAAAAAATATTAACACGTTGTGGTTGGTTGTCGTCGCTTCTGTCAATTTTAACGAATCTTTTTAAAAAAATTTTTTTTTCTTTTTGTTAGTATTCGAACGTCACGGCCATGTTGTGACGTAAACACCATGACGTCATCCCACTTTTTTTTATTATTGTTGCCGTGTACCCGCCTCACTACAAGTTTGTCTTAGTAATTATTAAGCGTTTATTAAAAAAAAAAAAAAAAGTTATTTTTAGCTTTTCTCGTTTGTTGTTTGTTTTCAGTTTTCAATTTTCGAACCTGTTTTTTTGTTTGTTTATATGATTTATTTAAATAAATTCAAATAAGGCTTCGTTTTAACAATTAAAAAAAAAAAAAAAAAATTATTACGTACGTGTAATTTTTTAAAACAAACGTTTGTTTGTTTGTTTGTTTGTTTGTTGCATATAATTTTTTTTTCGAAATGTTTTTTCCCTCCCATTCAAATCGAAGTTTTTGAAAATAAAAAATAAATAAAAATTATTATTATTATTGAAGTTTTCGCCATTTTTTAATTCCAGGTAACCGTTTTGAATTGTCTCCCCACCGAACCGTTTTATTCGACTTGGATAGGAGAGAGAGAATCGGAACGTTACGATGTAAGACAAAGAACGAGAGATTCCAGTTCGATTTTGGATAAAAATATTCCAAAGACCGGAAATGAAGAATCTCAAAGATTTCCAATTTTCGAAGAAGGAACGACAAGAAGAAGGGATGAAATCGTCGGCGTACCTGAAATTTTTACAACACGCGCTTCAAATAACGATGATGACGTTGGTGATATATTAATGACGTCACAAATAAAAAAAACAAGTCGAAGTCAAGAGGGAAATGATGACGTACGTTCGATGATACCCGTAGAAGCCTTACAATATTCAGGTACGAATAATTAAAATGATTACCGTGATTATGATGATGCGATGATAATGATAATTTTCTTTTTTTCACAGGATCCGATAATAAAAAAACCGGAAATGATGATAATAATAACAACAGAACGTATTCTAGTCGTGTTAATTGTGAAATAGTTGTTGCTAATAGAAAAAATGAAAAAGTTTCGAGAATCGGTGGAGGGGGTGAAGAAAACGAATATAAAATTAAAATGAACGATGATGGCGATGGCGATGGCGATGATGATGATGATGATGTGGAAAAAGGACAAGGGAAAATCCTAAATTTTGAAAATAATTCGAGAAATTTCCGAAGAGGAAATACAAGAAAAGGTTTGAGGAGTTACCAGAAAAACCCGATTAATTTTTTAATACGTTAATAATAATAATGATAATGATTTTAGGTGGAACGAATGCGATATCGACGACGGAAAAAACATCGAGAAATCCAAATCAAAAGGGTGGTAGTAGTAATAATAATAATAATAAAAGGGTGAGACCGTCTAAACCGAATCATCAAAATAGTCAAATAGTATTTCCGGATGGTGGGTACCCGAGACAGAAATTCACTCCGAGAGGTATAAAATGTGGTAAAAAAACGACGTATTGCGAACATGTCGGCGACGATTATCCCACAGAATACATAAATCAAGTGTTGAAAAAAGAGGGAGCCATGTTTAGGGATTTTTTTGGTAAAGACGTGGTGAGTGATTGAGCACCCCCCGCACGCCCGGTTCCTGCCCCCCCGGTTACGATTACTTTAATCATTATCATCATCATCAACAGATAAGCGATCCGAACATAACGGAAAGAATTCACGCACCGGAAGAAAATTCATTATGTCCGATACGACAGGAAGTTGTTTTTCCAAGAGCTGCTAAAAACAAAGATGACAAATGGTTGTTTGTCGTCAATCAAGATCGTTACGTTCAGGGTGTCACGGTCGAAGTTTGCCTGTGAGTCAAAATATTTTAAAAAAAAAAAAGGAATTTAAATACGAATAAAAACGTTTTTCCTTTTTTCCAGTAATCCTGGAAATAGGTGCACTTTAACGGAAGGTTTTCCATTGGGTTACGTACCTTATTGCAAACAGAAATACATTGAAAGAAGATTGGTCGCCATAGGGGAGGATGGAAAACCTCACACGGATTCATTTAAATTACCATCGTGTTGCGCATGCGTCGTAAGACACGAAACATCATCGAGAATGGCATCGTTACGATCGAAAAGAAATTTAAAACCTGGAAAAGAAGAGATAATAACATAAGTAGTGAATGAGGAGGAGGAGAAGGAGTAAAGGAAATCCTAACCTTCCCTTTCCCCTTCCTCTTCCACCCTCCCTCCTTCCATTTCTACCCCCTACCCTCTCCCCACATTTGAAATTAATAAATTATGTAATTGTTTCCGGTGCGAACGTTTTTTATTATTATTATTATTAATTGAAAATTTTGTCCAGTTTTTTTTTTTTCTTGTCTTCCAGTTCAAATTTTAACTGAAGAATAATTATTTAAACGCGTTTTTTTTGTGTTTTGTTTTTTGTTTATTATATAAATAAACGCTATAAAATGCGCTATAATTTACGCTATAAAAGGCGTTATATGTAAACGTCATCGAATTGTTTTTATATTTAATTATTAATACAAAATTTTTACGGTTCTTGTTGTTGTTGTTGTTTATTATTTGAAACGATCCGAAATGGGGGAGGGGGTTTATTTTTGGGGGGAATTTTGATAAAATCGTGATAAGACAATTTGATAATGATATAATTGATAAAATAAAATTGTTTTTATGTTAATTGAAAATATTCGGAAAATATTCATATCAAGTTTACAAAACGTGACAAAAACCTTTGTTGGAAATGTGTAAACAAATTTTTCCAGAACGAAACGGCCTTTTTGCCTTCCTTCTCAATTCCCTGTTTTTTTAATGGCTGCCACACACACACCCCCTCCCTCTTAGGGTTCTCTCCCTTCCACCTCCCCCCCAATTCGTTCGTATGTGTTTTCACATAACATGAAAATTTTTATCACTCCGATTGTATGTTTACATTTAATCATATCATGCTGACGTTATTTCATCCCTCATTAAAAAAAAATCATTTTCTTCATCTTTTTAAAAAAAAAAAAATCCAACCCCGTTTTTTAAAATTTTTTCATCCCTTATTTGTCATAGATAAAAAAAAAAAAATTCCTTTGAGCGACCATTATTATTATTTTTTTCAAACAATCTTTTAATAAATATTATCCATTTTATTCCAAAAAAAATATATATACTTTGACCGGGCATGTGTGACGTAATATAAAAAAAAACAATAATGATAATAATAATAATATTATTATTATTACGAAATCAAAATAACTGACCGGAAATCCGCCTTGAGAGAAAAAAAAAACAGAAAAATTATTTTCCCGATTTGTTTGTTTTTAATTTTTTTTTTGTTATTTTCTTTTCTTTCTCTTCTTGTTTGTTTTGTTTGACGATAAAACGAATTAAAATATTCTATCGATTATCATCATTATTATTATTAAACTATATAAAATTCACGCGTGGGGGTGTGTGTGGGGGGTGGTATACACCCACATGTAAAGATTCAAGACGTCACGTATTTGTGCGGTTTGATGGAAAAACGATTTCGTATATATATATAAATTATTTAAATTTTAAATGAAATAATATTGGGGGGAGGAGGAGAAGGAGGGAGGGAGGGGAGAGAAGGAGTAATAAAATGTTAGTAATTCTAAAAAAAAAAAAAAAAGAAAAAAAAAGAAAAAGTTAAATAATTAAAAAGTTTTGTTTTGTTTTTTTTGTTAAAATCATACGAAATTAATAAAAGTTGTTTTTGTAATAAAAAAAAAAAAAAAAGGTAACAAACGACTGTTTGTCGTTTGTCGTTTGTCGTTACCGAATAATAATATAAATTTTAATACCGAATAATTTTTCTTTGTTCTTTCGCATGAATAAATATTTCGTTTTTAAAAGGATGGTGATGACCAAATAAATAAATGTTTTTTTTATTTTTCTGCGTGTGTGTGACGTCGTTTCCGCTTCCGGTAATTTAATGTTTAATTGCCATTTAATAATAATAATAATAATATTTAAAGCAGACGACAAAAAAAAATTTTATCCTTTCCATTTTGCCTTTTAGATTTTTTTCATCCATTTTTTTTTGTTAACTTTTTACTAAAGAAAGAAAATTTAATCAATCGATGAATGAATTTATAAAAAAAAGTTTTCCAGAAGAGAGAGAAAGAGAAAGAGAGAGAGAGAAAGTTATTATGATGGAAAGAAACATTTTCATCGGAAAATCTGAAAAAAAAAAAAAAAAAATTAAGTGGGAAACGAAGATTCTTTTTTTTTTTTCTTTTTCTTTTTCTTCCCTTTTTTCCTCCTCCTCCTCCTCACCATCTTTTTCCTTTCCATAATAATTTTGTTCTCCAGTTAAGCTATGGATTGATATAAAAAGGGAGACGATAGAAAATGAAAAAAAAAAAAAAGGGGAGGAGGGGGAAGTTTTTTTTTTTTTTTTAACCCTTCGAGTCCGTTTTTGTTTAATTCTCGCCTTATTAAAAGCTAATGGAAATAAGTGTCAGAAAATGGAAAATAGAATCGGAGGGGGATATCATAGCCTTAAAGGAATCGAATGAAAATTTATCGAACAGGTCGGTTGATTCTAGAAAATGATGGAGTCAGAAAGAGAAAGAGAGTGAGAGTGAGAGAGAAAGAGAAAGAGAGAGAATTTTAAAAGAGGTTGAACCCTCTGGCGGTAATTAAGTTACCACCCTTGGAATCTTTTGATTTTCAGTTTTTCGTCATGTGTAACTTTCTCACAGTTTTCCATTTACCTCATCATCATCATCATCATCATCATCGTCGTCGTCGTCGTCATCGTCATCATCATCATCAACAGTTTCCTATGCCTTCTGGCTTTTTCATTTTCCAGACACATATACACGCTCACGCTCTCTCTCTCTCTCGCTCTCTCTCGTTCCCCGTCCCCCCCCCCCTTATAAATTTTTCATTAAGATTTTTCCAATTTTTTATATATATTTCAAATCGATTCGTTATCATTTAAATTGATAAGAGAAAATTTCACATCATCAGATGATATCATTAAATAAAAAAAACGAACCGAAACGAACGAATAACGCGTGAAAAAAAAAATGGCGGTGAAAGTATTAATAAAAAATGTAGTAATAATAATACGAAAGGAAAAAGGAAAAAAAATGGTCCAGGAAAGTATAAGGGAAAAGGGGGGAGAGAGAGAGAGAGAAAATAAAAGAAAATTGGTTGGTTTTTTTTTATGTGTGTGTGTGGAATGAGGAGAGAAAAGTGTGGGATGATGATGGAGGCCATGATGAATGTACTATCAGCGACACATGAATAGGTACTCGTTTTTGAAATAAAGAACATTATCCAGATCAAATGGTTAAGTTATTTAATCCCAGTGACTCAGTGCGAACGAGGACACCTGGAAAATCATCCCTTGCGCATGTATCCCTTACATGAACTCTACGACGCAAGACTTAACCTATTTTCAAACCGTAATCTTAAACTAAAATTATAACGTAAATTGTTTTTATTCTAAGATGACACGTACAATACGTTTGATTAACTTATATCACATCGATTAACTTAAATTAATTCCCTTTTTTTTTATTGACAACAACAACAACAACAGCAACACGCTAGAATGTTACAACAATTTTCTTCTTCTCTTCTTCGCTTCAATTCATTCTCCTTCTCATAAGGTCCCATACATGCAACTTTTACGAAAAAAAAAATTTTTCTCCTGTCGTCCTGTTGATTTTCCTGTCGTTACTCAAAAAGTAATAAATCAAATCACTTGAACGAAATCGTAAATCGAATGATTATATAAAAATTTCTCCTCTTGTTTTAATTAATTTTTTTGTCTACGTTTCCTGTTGTAGTTGCTGTTGTTGTACGTGATAGAGAAAGAGAGATGGAGGGGCGGGGGTGAGAGAGAAAGAGAGAGGAAAATAATTTATTTATCGTTGTTCGTGCTGTTTGGAAAAAAAATGAGAAAACGATGAGTGTTTTAAAATCAGATATTTTACACATTCAGGCAGGAAAAGGTTAAAAGGAATCAAAAGGCTGTATTAAATAAATATGAAAACCTCAAAAGATTCAAGAGAAAATGGCAAAAAGGCTCGGGGAAGGAAGAATGAAGAGAGAAGAGAGAGAGAGGGAGAAAGGAGGAGGAAAAGGTAAAAATAAGAGGAAAATAACATGGAAAATGTAAAGAATAAAAAAGGAAATGAAAAGTGGTGGTGGTGGCGTGGGGGGGGGTAGTGGGGGTAGCAATGGCGGTGGTGGTGGTGGTGGGAAAAGAGTAAAAGTGGAAAAAAGGATAGAAGAGAAGGAACAACAAGAAATTCGAGGAAACGTGGTTAGTATTTTCCTACTAATTTTGCCTTTTTGTAACTCAAACCTTTTTCTTTTTCCTTTCCTTTTCCTTCCCCCCACTTCCTCCCCGCTCCGCGCCTCTCCTCTCTCTCTTTCTCCAACTTTCCTTTTTCTCTTCTTCATATTTCTTTTCCCACGTTTTCATGCTTTTTCCAAACCACGTTTTCCATTCCAATAAAATTATTTTTCATTCTATATTTATTATTTTTTAGTATTTGACATCTTTTTACTTTTACCTTATTTATATATATTAATTTGCTTCTTTTTCGAGCAACAGCAACAACAGCAGATGATAAAAAACAAACAACAACAATCTTTAGTATTAAGGAAAATTTTAAAAAAAAATATTTTCCCGCCTTTTCTTTTCCTTTTTTCCTCCCATTCAACTTTTCCAAAAAAAATTTTAATCCTTTTCACCACAGAACAAGATTATTTTTTATCATTATTGATAAGTATAATAATGATAATAATAATAATAATAACAACAGCGGCAACAGCACCCGGAAAATGAAAATTTATTAATGTTTACCTTACGGATAATTTTATAAAAAAAAAAAAAAAAAAGGATTTTCAAAATTTTTGATTCGTTTTAACGAAAAAGGAAAATTAGAGGTAAAAGATTTATTATTATTATTATTATTATTATTATTCGGAAAAAGGTTATGTGAAAAGGATAAAAAAGGCTAGAAAAGGTTTTTTTGTATAAAAAGATTTGAGCGCCATATTAGGAGAAAATTTATAAAAAAAAAAAAAAATTTATTAATTAAAAGGTAAAATCATTTCAAGCTCATGCCTATGGAAAATTAATCATTTTTCTTTTTTTTATTTATACGAATAAAGGGA